TACCCAGATGCCACATCTGTCAACAAAACTTGGTTTCGTCAAATATCCCTGCTGCTGCAGCTGCAAACCTTACTATCTCGAGAACAACACAGAGTTCCAAACTCTAACTCACAGAATACCCAGATGCCACATCCGTCAACAAGACTTGGTCTCGTCAAATATTCTTGCGATTACAGCTGTAACTTAAATGGTTCCAGACCAACTTTTGATCAAAATCTTTAGGCCTTTGCTGTGCAGATCAGTCCTCAGCGGGAGTCATCACCAGGATGCCCAGGGCAGGGCTGGACCAAACCTGCCCCGTCCAGCATAGGGAGGACGGCTTTCGACAGATTCTTGGCCTTGGTCCCACAGGTCCTGGACAATTGGATCTTGACTCCCGGGTTTCAGCACCAAAATGTTAAGTTCAAAAATGTAGGTTCATAAAAGAGGAACTGACTCTACACAGAAGAGAGATTTTTAACATCTTCTGCAGAAAGAATGAGTTACATTCAGCTACATCTACTCTCTAACGGACTTCCTCTGCAGAAGCCTTTTTATTAGCAGATCATAACACATGGGGTGGGTTACAAAATAGAGTGTTCTTCTGACAAAGCAATTGATCAGGTCATAGGACAAAATGCTCCTCTGATTGAATCACAGAATAGAGTGGTCTCCTGATAACTGTGATTAGCCTTGCACAAACATCAGCAATTTTTTACCACTGTTGCATGACAGTTTGCAGTAAACAGAGTGGAGCATCTCATTTCTCCAATGTTTCAAATGTACACACATTAACTTTATAATCATCATTGAATAAACCTAACACATGTTGACGTTGGGTTTTATTACAATGCAGTCGCCATTACAGGGGTACTTGTGAGTGTGTGCAAAGTCAGCCCATGAAGAAGTGTCCCCGGGGGGAATAGTCCTCGATATTACTATGTAAGGTAGTGTTCATCAACCAGCCGCACACAGAGAAGGTTAACATATGCCCCAGGTGATGGGAGGGAGCAAAATGTCATGTTTATGTAATATCCAGGAGGAGTTTATTATATGAGCCCTTTTACGCTGACCAGATGTTCCTGGTTTCTGGGGACAGTCCCTGTTTTAGACTGCCCAAGCCCGGAAATGTCCCAGATTTTACCGTTTTATGAATGAAGGGGTAAATGTTGTGTGTAAACTGTTAATACAGTAAAAAGAGCATGTGAGCATGCTGCGCGCAACTGAATGAAGGCAAACTGAATGAGACCAGATCTGCATGATCTGAGAATGATGGAGGCAGAGAAGATCACCTGTTTAATGTTAAATTATTAGGTTGTTTTTACTTGTAGCTCCAAATATTGTGGTGATTAGCCTTTTTAGTATTTAATCAGGTGAGATAACAACAATAGTATTAATAATAATCACCCTCATCATAATAATCATAATATGTATGGTGAGATCGTGTGTTCGGACAGGATTTTCATTGTATATACTGTTTTAGATTAGCGTAACATTGATTGGAGAAGAGAGAAGGAAGACCGATGGAAGATTGAATGGAAGCAGAGGAAAATAGGAACACTGATGGAAAGAACAATTGAGAAGGAAGAAAAATATACTTAGACGTGTTAAACAGAGAGCAGGTAGAAGTAAGCTAGAAAGAAAATATGGAGAGGGAAGAAGACAGAGAAAACTGACCAGATGGCACTAATAAACACTATCGACTTTAACTTTGATGATACGTTCTTCTTTTTATTTGCAAGCTGGAAATGTTCCTTGATTGAATTTCAGGAATCTGATCACCTTACCTTTCAAGGTCCTGCAGGAGAATCAGATTTCAGATAGATTGTTTGGGTTAGCCTTGGGTTGCATTTGGATTATATTGACTCACTCTTAATTATGCCACCACCCCTTTTGTTTGGCTGAATCACTGGACAGCCCAGTATGCAGCTCCTCCCAGACCTGTTCTCTGTTTGATTGTGTAAGAGTCAAAGCTTGCTTTTGTCCTTGTGAGATTGGACATGGGTTATTCAAACAAGCTGAGCATATGTCTAAATCTCCTGCATTAACAGGTTTTCTGTCCTGCAGTGCATTGTTACATCATATTTTATACTTTTATGCAGGTTATGAAGGAACAAAGACCAAAAGTGGGGTTTTACTAAATACCTGCAGTATATCATCCCTGAAAGTACACTTTTTTTAAGAATAGTATTATTATCTGTGTGTTTCTTTTTCTTTCTGTTGAAGTACAAAAGCATCTAGACTACCTGAAACCTGATTCTCTGTAAACAGAATATTCTCTTAAATTTTGACAAAGAATTATATAATTATCTCAGATGTTTAGAGGAAGAGATTTTATGAAAATATCCAAATCAACTTCAATTTCTTTCAAAAAAAAAAAAGAAAATTTAAAACACTCCACTGGACTTTGTTCCCAAGTTTAAAGATGTTTCGCTTCCCATCCAGGAAGCTTTTTCAATTAAAAATGTCAGAAATAGCGTTGAGTTCGAGCCTCTATAAGGTAGCCAATCAAAACCTTGTTTTTGTTTTGAAAACATGCAAATTAAAACGTACGAAGGGGTCCAC